TTTTATCAGTGGTTTCGTTCAATAAACAGGCAGCTCTGGCGCCGATGAAATCCTGCACACCTGGTGCTTGAACAAAGAGCTGCACAGCATTAAGACCTGGGACGCCAATGGATCTGCATAGAAATGCTGCAGAGTGACTGCAGCAGGAACGTTTCGTCGTCTGCCTTTATCGGCTTATTTACGGCGGATGTTGCGGTTTTTGGCAACTTTTGGCTGCCGCATTTGGTCCGCAAGGGGAATTTTTGCTTTGCGACCCCCGCGGTTCGTTGCTCGGTCGAAACCGAGCGCGGCTGGCCAGTTTGAAAAAATGCCTTCGGCTCGCGGCCAGAAAAAGCCGTAACGAGCAAAGAAAAATGTGCCTCTCTTTGGGCCGGCGGAATGAAAAAACCACCCACTGAAACGTATCGGGCATATCTCGAGCCGTCTGGCCATATACGTATCGTCGGTACGATCGATGGAATACAAATTTCCTTTCAGTACCCGGCGTTTTTGCGCTCACGGAATGCGTCGGTACTGCCGCTTCAGAGTGTGACAGCAAAAACCGCAGGCAGCCTGGTACCGATTTCTATAAGTTTGGAATCGTTGCCCAATGGGAACCACGTCCAAATGGAATATATGGAGCTCTAAGTGGTACCGATGGAATGCAAGGGAACTGAATCAATTCGGGCGTGGCTGCCGCAAAACTGGATCGTTCACTTTGTCAAGTGCAAACGTAATGCGGGCATTTTCGCTGATTTGCACGATACAAACTGTCACAAATCGTGTACCATTTATCAAAAGCAGCGGCCACTAGATCGGAGACGGTACCACTCGCCCGATCGCCACAATCGCCATTTGTTTGCACTCAATCGATATCGATTCGAATGCCGCTTCCTACACGGTACCCATTGTCCCACGCACCTAATAATAATTGAGAAACGATTATTAGCGGCGACTAGTTTGGGCGTTTGTGTAATTTAAGAGTGTTTTGCAACAATTCGCGCCGTCCAGTAGCCGATAAGGTAGCACTAAAACGTCGATAATAAAATTAATTTTCTTTGCCGGTCGATTTCGATACCTGCCGGGCATCGCTGCTATTCAATGTTTATCGATTATCGCATTCGAGTGGTTCACTTTGGCCGTTGCAAAATCGCATTGTCGCTTAATCGGGTTCCGAACTGGATTTGTAACCAATCCATCAGATTCTTGTAACCAACCGAAGGTTCATTGTTTGATCAAAAACGGTCGCCTTGGGGAAAATTCACTTTTCAAGCTGTCTACCGAGGGTGTTTTTCGAGGGACTGTCCTTTGATCTTCAAAAAATCTATAATATTCATGGTTGGAATGATGCAACTTTTGAGTTTGATACCACTCACTAAAAATGGGTCTATCTCTTTGGAGGTTAGGAATTTCGGTTGACACCTCAAGAGGAGAAGATGGGCCTGGAAACACTCTATCGAAAAGGTTCTAATGACTATTCCGGTATTTTCACTCGCTTCCGAGATAGAAGAGAAAATGTACAGCAATTTATCAAAAATGAGAGTATCGCCTTTGAGGTTAGGAATTCTGCTTGAAGCCTCAAGTGGAAAAGATTGCGCTCGAAACCCTGTATTGAAAAGCTTCTAAAGACCAAACGGGAATTTTCACTTGTTCTCGAGATAGAAGCGAAAACATGAACCTTTCCTCAAAAACCGAGCTTGCCTCTTTGGAAGTATGAAATTTTGCCTGATTCCTGAAGAGGAAAATATGGGCCTCGAAACGCTCTATCGAAGAGGTTCCAATGACTATTCCGATATTTTCACTCGCTTCCGAGATAGAAGCGAAAATGTTCAGTAATTCACCAAAAATGAGAGTATCGC